TACAAATGTTATACCCTCTTGTTGGATTTACCCCTTTATCATTATGTAATGACCTTTTTATCTCCTATAACAGTCTTTGGATTAAAATCTACTTTTTCTGATATAAGTACAGCTACCTCTGCTTTCTTTTGGTTTCTATTTGCATGGAATATCCTTTTCTATCCCTTCACTTCAGTCTGTGTATGTCCTTAAAGCTGAAGTGAGTGTCTTATAGGCAGCATATAGCTAGGCCTCATTTTTTTTAAAAATGCATTCAACTCCTCTTTGATTGGAGAATTTAGTCCATTACATAATTATTGATAGGTAGGGACTTACTATTGACATTATGTTCATTTTTTCTGGTTGTTTTGTACTTCCTTTGTTCCTTTCTTCTTCTCTTTTTCTCTCTCCTTGTGATTTGATGATTTTCTGTAGTAGTGTGCTTAGATTCCTTTCCCTTTATTTATTTATTTATTTATTTATTTATCTATTATAGGCATTTGTTTTGTGGTTACCATGAGGCTTAAATAAAATATCTTATATTTGTAACAATCTATTTGAATCTGACAACTTAAGTTCAAACATACACTAAGGCTGTGTATTTTTACTCTCTTCCACATGTATTTTGTTTTTGATGTCACAGTTTACATCTTTTTACCTTATGGATTCATTAACAAATAATTGTAGTAATAATTATTTTTACTATTATTGTCTTTTAACCTTCATACTAATTGATTTATAAGTGATTACCCACCACCATTACAACATTAGAGTTCTGTATTTAACTATATATTTACTTTTACCTGCAAGATTTATACTTTTATATGTTTTATTATTCCTAATTAGTGCCCTTTCTTTTCAGCTTATAGAAATCACTTTAACATTTATTTTAAGGCTGGTCTAGTGGTGATGCTCTTTAGCTTTTGCTTGTCTGGAAAACTGTCCATCAGTTCTGAATGACAACACTTTCCTGGGGAGAGTATTCATGTTTGGAGGTTTTTTCTTTCAGCACTTTGAATATATCATGCCACTCCCTTCTGACCTACAGTTTTGGCTGAAAAATCTGTCAGTCTTACAGGGGCTCCCTTATACATAACAAGTTGGTTTTGTTTTACTACTTTGAAAATCTCTCCTTGTCTTTAACTTTTGACAATTTAATGGCAGCAGGTGCTCGAATAATGTCATTTCATTCAACATTGCTTCATTATCACATAGATGAGATGCTGTAAGAGTGTTATTCTTGTTTATCCATCAGCCTGTCATAAAATTGGTTTTGTTATATGTTGTTGCCCTTCAGTTCCAGGAACCTATTGATGATGTGAAGTGAGGGCTTACTGTATATTGTGTCTTGCTGTAAGTCTCTTTGGATTTATCTTTTTGGTCCTCTGCACTTTCTGGATCTGTATGTCTGTTTCTTTCTCTTGGTTATGGGAGTTTTCAGCCATTATTTCTTTGAATAAGCTTTCTGCCCCTTTCTTTCTCTCTTCTCCTTCTGACCTCTATAATAGAAATACTGGTTTGCTTGATAGAATCTCAGTATTACCTTATGCTATCTTCATTCTTTTTTCTTTTTGCTCTTCTGATTGGATGAATTTCACTGCTCTGTCTTTGACTTCACTAAAGCTGTCTTCTACCTTATTTATTCTGCTGTTGAACCCCTTAATTGACTTTTTCAGTTCAGTTATTGTATTCTTCAGCCGTGATATTTGTTTGGTGCTTTTTCATATGGTCTCTTTGATAAAATTCTCAGGTTGTTATGCATTGTTCTCCTAACCTTGGCGAGCAACTTTGGACTATTATTTTGAGCTCTTTCTTAGATAAATCATTTATCTTCTTTTCATTAAGGTCTCTTTCTGGAGTTTTATCTTGTTCTTTTGTTTACAACGTATTCCTTTGTTTCTTCTTTTTTTTTTTTTACTGTCTGTGTTGGTTTCTGAACATGAGATAAAACAGCCAACTCGCCCAGTCTTGACAGAGTGACCTTCTGTAGGAGATAAACCTTATTGTTCAGCCAAGCCCTAGCTTTTGGTTGTCTCTGAAAGCTTTGTGATTGTCCAAGCCATGTTCTTTGTTTTTAGTGGCTCCCCATAGTTTGAGGGTGTTCTAAGGACTGTCAGCATCCCAAAGGGGAGGAGCTCAGTCAGCACCGTGATACATGCTAATTGGCAGCTATGCCCTCAGGCAGCAGCTTTTAAAGTATGCAAGTAGACCTCTTTCTAGGTAAAGACTGGAGGTGGGCGTTTCTCTGTGCTCCCTCTGCACTGAGCCCTGGAAGGGGCAGGAAAGAAGTGTTTCTTTGTTTGCTACAGTCCTACGGAATCTGTAACTCAAGTCCTGCTGGCTGCGAGAGCCAGGAAATCAAAGGGGGTGTGCCCCGGGCAGCAGCCACAAGAGCTGGGGTGCCAGACATGTGTGCAAGCTTATTCCAGGGAGACGCTGGTGACCTAGAGTGGCCCAGAGGGAGGCTGTAGCGATGGTGCCTGCGGGCCTTCCCCTTATCCAGGGAGGATCACAGCCTGTCCCTAGATGTGTGCTAAATTAGAAGCCTGACCCTCAGGCAGCAGCTTCTAGTATGCAAATAGGCCTCTTTTAGGGAAAGACTGGGCTATGGGGGTTTTCGTCTGTTGTCCCTGTACTCAGCCTAGGACAGCCATGGGGAGTGCTCACAAGCCCATTAAGAACTGGCTTTTGTTTCCTACAGTCTGGTGGGCCTCATGGATAGCAAGCCCCACTGGCTTTCAAAGCTGAGTGTTTTGGGGGCCATCCCTCAAGTGGAAGTCTTAAAACTTGGGGCACTAACGGTTGGGCTGAAACCCTTCATTCCTCACGGAGAAACTGGGAGTTGTGACTTCCCTCCTGATTGTATGTCACTGCATCGGGGGTGGGGTTTATGACAAGTTTAGGTGCTGATATGTCTCAGCCTTTTCTACTCATTCTGATGTGGCGTTTTTTTTCTCATTTGCTCAATGTTTAGGAGTCACTCAGCTAGTTTCTGGATTCTTTCAGATGAAAATTTTCCATGTGCAGCTGTAGAGTTGGTGTGCCCATAGGAGGAGGTGAGTTCATGAGCTTCCTATGTGCCATCATGGACTAAAACCTCCAGCACTGTTTGTAGTAGCCCCAAACTGGAAACTACTTAACATCAACAGTAGAATGGATGCATAAATTGTGGTATAGTCACACAATAGTATTCTATACAGCACTAAGGATAAGTGACCTAATGCAACACAGCACAACAATGATGAATCTCGTAAGTATAGTTTTAAATGAAAGAAGTCTGATACAAAAGAGTACGTACTGTAGTATTCGATGTATACCAAGTTTCATAAGGAAGCAAAACTAATCTTTGGCAACAGAAGTCATGATGGTAGTTATTCTTGAGTTGGGGGGACAAGATGGGGAAGGAGGACAAGAGAGTGTTCTGAGCGTTGAGTATGATCTATGATTGATGTGGATGCTAGTGAGATGTTCACATCATTAAAACTTATCAGTCTTATGATTTGTGTACTTGTAAATATTCTGTGCTTCAGTAAAAGTTAATTTGCCTTAGGTTAAAAAAAAAAGTCCAATATCTTAACAAAGGCTTCTCAGTGGCTTTCCATAGAACTCGGAATAAAATCCAAAGTCCTTACAATGGCCTACAAGGCTATACGAGATCTGACCCATGACTACCTCCTCCACATCATTTCTTACCATTATTCCTCTTGCTTACTCAGCTCCAACCACAAGACCAACTTGCTGATCTGCAAACACAGTAAAACTTCTTTCTACCCCCAAGACTTTGTACTTTCTGTTCCCTCTGCCTGGAACATTCTTCCCTCAACTTGTCACATTGCTGGTTTCTTATCATACAGGTACAGGCTCAGATGTACTTCTTCAAAAATGTCCAACATTCCATCTGAAATAGACTTCCCAGTCACTTTTTATCACGTAACACTATATTTCCTCATAGCATCTACAACTAGTTATGTATTATTTCTTGTTCATCATCTATCTTTCTCAATAGAGAAAGGGACTAGTAACTCCTCAAAGGCTTGGATCACATCTGCTATATTCATCACCGTATCTTTAATGCCTGATGCACCACCTAATATATAGCAGGTGTTCATGTACCATATTTTGCCGTGTATCATGCACTCCTGTGTTTAATGCACACCCACATTTTTGGCCCAAACTTTCAGGGGAAAAAAATTACAAAGCACAATAATAGGTAAAAGGTACAAGAAATTTTATGTACCAGTAACAAATTTACGATATTTATGCATCATAGAAGGCCAAGAACTCTTTGTCACTGTAAGTTCGTCGTAAGTTCAACAAAACCGATTATAGTATTCCAGGGTATAATCTTGCATACAGAAATTGTTACTGATTTCTAGAGTTACATTTTTAACTCATAAGCAAAAGAATTAAAATATTTATATAGCTTTGGAATTAGTACCATGCATGTATAATGCACATCCTTATTTTCCCTCACAAATTTGGGCAAAAAAAGTACACATTATACATGGCAAAATATGGTAAATGTTACGGTTGAATGAATGAGGAATGAGTGAGAGAAGATCCGTGGGTAACATGTCCACTTGACTATAGCTGGGATTTCTCCCCCAAGAGGAAACACCTGAGAAGTAATAAGTAATCCTGTTAAAATCAAAACTTTGTTAGTGCAACCTCCCTTGTGCACCTCAGCTTGCTGAGGAGAAACCTTGGACCTCTCATGCTTCTGTGGAATTTGAAAGGGAATGTGCTTTAAATAAAACATGATATCCAAAGATTAAAGAAACCAGCTAGAACACACTTCTATCCCCTACCCCCATTTTCTCCAAAGAAAAACAAAGTATAGTCAAGGCAGTGGAGCTCTTCTCTACATTCCTATAGTTCTGAGAGAATACTGAGTTGTCACCTCATCTCTGGGTCAAGTACTGAATATAGGCAAAGCCTCATATAAAATTGCTCAATAAACAACAAATGCCTTTCTTTAACATGTGTATGAAGAGATCTTTCTTTCTATAATTTCATCTTAGGTACAACAAGTATGACCGGGCTGTCCTCAATACTGTACCTTATGATGTTGTCCATCGTTGGTATACAGCACACCGAATTCTAACAATAGAGCTGAGGAGACCTGAGAATGAGTTTTGGGTCAAGCTAAAGCCTGGCAGGGTGGGTGCCAAACTCTAAGGATGTCAACTAAGTTTCTTATATGGAAGCAGGGACGAATGGGTACTTATTTAATATGGGTGTCACAATCTTGCAAAGGAAGAAAAGAGTCATGGGTGTTGGCTTTGGTCCTGCTACATTGAATGACCTGGAAGCAGGCCCCACCCCATATCAAGGCATCACTCAGTGACTATTTGTATGATGAGGGGATTGAAATAGATAGTCCCTAAGGGTTCTTCCAGCTTTAGGATTTTTGTTTGTTTGTTTGTTTGTGGTTTTTTTTTTTTGCTGGTAGTATTTCCTCTCGATGAAGAATATCTTCAGCTTAGCATAAAACATAATGAGTAGTTTAAATTTTTGAGAAAGTATATAAGAATTAAAGAAAGAAAAGAAAAAGAAACCAATTATCTGATTTGTTTTGATAAGAGAACAATTATTCAAGACGCATAAACTCCTCAAGTACAAGGCCTATTACCTACTGTTACCTTTGTAACTTTCATTTAGCCCACCACAGGGCTATGCACATCATAATTTCCAAATGGTTGGCCAATCTCAAAAGAAAAATACCTAATGGAATATAACCAGGGAACAACATAAAGCTTTTCTTCCAAATGACCTCTTCTGATGTAGGGTTCCTTTGGTCTGCCCTTGTTCTGATGGTGTTTGTCTCTCATTTTGCCCATTCACAGGTCCTATTTATAGATAACTGGCATATCCTACATGGCAGGGAATCCTTCACTGGCTACCGTCAACTCTGTGGCTGCTATTTAACAAGGGATGACATATTAAACACTGCTCGTCTCTTGGGACTTCAGGCTTAAAGTTGACAGCATTGGGATAATGAACACACCTGGCACCCTGGCTACCAAAATTTCATATCAGCAGAATAATAACGTGTCAAAACCTACTTCAAATTGTCTCCTTACCTCATCACACAAAACACAAGCCACCCACTTCCCTGATAGAGAAACTTGTTATAGAAAGGCCTCTGAGTTCTCTTATGTCAGCCATCTAGGGTGGTAGCTCTCTTCCCCAAGTTATAACATGGGCTCATTTGATTTTTAGAAGTTTTGATATAATTTTGGTGAAGCATCTTCAGAAATATAATCTCTACATTGACAGGGAAACAGTAATATTCACTAGATATTGGCGCAACTGGATCAGTTAGACAGACATATGTTCTAGTAATAAAGTCTTAGTAAAGCAATAATTTGCACAATTTTTGGTCTCAGGACACCTTAACACTCTTAAAAGTTACTGAGGACCCCAAAGAGTTCTCAGGTGTGAGTTATATCTATTGATATTGATTGTATTATAATAGATATTAAGGCTGAGAATGTTTAAAATTCAAGAACACAAAAGCAAACATCCCTCAGCTATCAAAGAGATGCTATTATCACATGTCATGGCCTCTGGAAAAGCCCTGTGTAGTTCATGAGATAATGAGATTGAAAAAGGAAAATATCATCTTAGTGTATTATAAAATATAGTTTTAAACCCACAGACCCACTGAAAGAGTCTCAAGGACGCCTCCAATTATCTTCAGAACACACTTTGAGAACCAGTGAGCTGGACGATACCTTGGGACAGTCCTTTCCATAGGCCTGTGGATTAAAGAGCTCAGCTGAAACCCAATATTCTTCTCTACAGTCTCCTAGAACTACAGGTACTGTAGGAATTGCTCAATAGCACAACCTAAGTGATAAGGTGGGAACTGAATAAGAACAGAGTGTTTTATCTTGTGATAAGGGTTATCTCCATCCATGTCATCTCTTAAGGAGCTATACTAGGAAGTCACAATAGGTCCTGTGGAATAAAGCCATCAGTTTGGTGATTCTCTAAGGGAAAATTGCAGAAAGTGTTTAGAGACTTGTAAGGATACATATAATAATACACACACACAAACACATACACACCACAAGAGAGCTTGCAGAGGGTTAGTCTGCCAGACTATTCAGGGAACTAACTCATCATGATAAACGACCTGACTCCACAGAACTAGAGATTACTATCCAAACTTCTATTTTGGCTTTTGATGGAATTTAGGATACTATCTGTTTTCCTTCATGTCTGGTGATCTCTTTCTGCGTCCCCCTCCCAAAATATTTTACATGTTAATTGCCAAGATTTCACTCAGTTAACTATAATACCTTGCTTCTCTTATTTTTAATGGCTTCCATATATATCTCTGTGTGTGTGTGT